AATGTAATGTAAAGCATATTACATTCCTGATTCTACGAGCCGCCTTTGTGCCACGCCCCTCGAGGCAAGCCCAAACAAGTCCACATTAGGTCTTAAATTCTTAGTTTTCACATAAAAAATAATGATTTTATAGTTTTAATTGCCTTTGTGCCACGCCCCTCGAGGCAAGCCCAAACAAGGCGCCTTTTGAAAGGCCTGCGCTTAGGACTTAGGCGAGGTGCATACCTTGAAATGCGCCTCGCCTGTGTGCCTAGGTGCACCTTTCAAATCACTGCATCAACCCAAAATTGTTTGGGAACATTCATATGTAACATCATCCCTCGGGCTACCTCAAGGAGGTGTTTGTTCTTTCTTTCTACAACACCATTTTGTTGTGGTGTTCTTGCACATGAGCTTCTATGAATCGATCCATGGGAAGCAAAGAACTCATTTAGCACACCATGGAAATATTCCTTCACATTATTGGATTGAAAATTTTGAACTTCCACATGGAACTATGTAAACACCATCCTTTGGAAATCTTTACGATCATTGGGACTTCGTCTTTGCTACGCATGGGAAAAATCCATGTATAACAGGAGAAATTATCAATCAATGTGATAAAGTACTTATACCTGTCCTTTGAAGTTATGGTAGTAGGCCCCCACACATCATAATACACAATATGGAAAGGGAAACTTGATCTTTTATTACTTGAAGAAAATATTGTTCTACATTGCTTGTTCAATTGACATGTTTGACAATGGAAATCTGACACTGAACAGGACTTAAATAAAAACGGAAACAAAGACTTTATCATTTCAAAAGACACATGACCTAACCGGTTATGCCACAACAATTTTACCCTTATTTGACCGACTATGAGACTCTGAAGATGACATCGAGAAACCAGTTTTGCGGTTAAGAGTGTAGAGACCATCACTAAGCTTCCTCTACCAATCGTCCTCCTAGAAGTTAGGTCTTGAAAAATACATGAATCAGGAAAAAAGGTTACACTGCAATTTAATGAGTTTGTGATACTACTAATAGAAAGAAGGTTGATAGGAAGCTGAGGGACATGCAAAACATTATTCAGGTTAAGTCCTTGGGGAAGGGATATTGATCCTTGACTTGCAATGGAAGAAAAAGATCCATCTGCAAGTCTCACCTTATCCCTTCTTGACAAAAGGTTATAAGAACTAAATAGTTTTGGCTTACCGGTCATGTGATTAGAAGCCCCCGAGTCAATGATCCAAGGGGAATTGGTGGCTGTGGAGACATGGAAGGCAAAAGTTGCATTGTCTGATGTAGACGCAAATGAAGTAGAAGGGTTACTAGTGTTTGATCTGTCCATTTGGCGCAAGGCCCTACCATATGATTCCAAGTGACTACAGAAGGAGTTCATAATGTTTTCCTTGGGGTCAAAACCAATGAAGTGTTCTCGAGTAGTATCAGTTGGCACCCCCACAGACTGAGCTTCTTGGGTTACCATAATTGCTGCGTTGTGGGTTGTATTTGGCCTCTTTTGACTCTATACCTTACCCTGTTCTTGGTTCTTTACAGCCCACTTTGGTTCTTTCTTGGAACCAATTTTCTTTCCCATGTTATTTCCACCCATTGCAGCTAATGCTACCTGTTGCACCCCTTAGTTGTAACCATCACACTTTGTCTACTTTCCCTAGACTGAACAAGGGCATACACCTATTGGACTGAAGGCAACTCTTTACTTCTTAAAATCTGAACTCTAAGGGGTTCATATATGGGGTTTAGTCCCAACAAGATGGCGAAAACCCGCTGCTGAGAAACCAGCTTCTTATAGGCGCTAGCATTATCCTCATGTTTCCATTCTATAGCCCGATAGTGGTCCAATTCCTTCCAAACTGAGGCAGGAGCTGAATAATAAGCCGATAAGCTGCGGTTTCTCTGTTTATAATTTGAGGATTCAGCTTGTAACTGGTAGATCTTAGCAAATTTCCTTTGCTCAGAATAGGTGGTTTTGGTCTGTTCCCATATCTCATTTGCAGTATCTGCCCACATAAAATTCTTTTTCACATCAGATTCCATGGATGCAAGGAGCCAAGACATCACCATACTGTTTTCTTTGTCCCGCCGGTCATGTTCAGCAGTCCCACTCTTGGGTTCTTTAACTCTTCCATTTATGTAACCAGCTTTCCCCCTTGCTGTTACATAAAGTTTGACACCTTTAGCCCACTCCAGGTAGTTCAGACCATTTAAAGGAGTGATCGTCATAGGAAACATCATGCTTTTAGTCCCCATACCTACTGTACCACGGGTCGAAGTAACTGCGTATGGTGCAGAATCATTATTCGCCATTTTCAATGGCAGGTCTACAAGCCACAAACAAAAAACTGCAAGTGCACAAGACCAGTCCTCACACCAGTACTACTTCTAATAGTCACATAAAAAAAAGGCACAAAACTCCACACACTACTTCTGAAAACGTGCACACACTATTGCAGCACCTAAATAGTCCAGGAAGAAGAAGAATACTGCTCTACTCCACACTTCACACACCAATTCTAGCACATACCTGGACAACGGGGAACACACACCCTTGTACAGCACCTGTACAAAGGTGCAAAAAAGACGTAACTAGGTCTTCACAGCATTAGCCGAAGGTCAAAAAAGGAAGTTTATGTCTTCACACCATCAATCGGAGGTGCCAGGCCTTCACAGCCTCAGCCGAAGGTCAAAAAAAGAAAGTTTAGGTCTTCACAGCATCAGTTGATGGAGCCAAGGAAGCTTCATAGCATCAGCCTCCACCAAATAGGGTTACCTTGGTGCTACGACCAAGGAAGAGACCAGAAGAAGTGACAAGAGATATTTTTGATTAGTCCGATTGAGTATTTTTGTCTTCACAGTCCAAGAAAATTGGCGCCTGGGTTGAGGAAATACTTCTCAGCGAGAAAACCACAATTTCTATTGCCCAGAGTGTCGCTTTGATACCATGTAAACATACAAGAAAACAGGAAGAAGAGAGAAGAGAGAGAAGAGAGGAGAGGAGGAGAAGGAGAAGAGAAAAGATGTGAGAGTCAAAAATCTTAGAGCTGGCGGTTACCAGCTTCACTTTTATTTAAAATGTGTTATAATTTATGAAAGCTGAACTACTGTAGCCGAAGTAGCAGAGAAGAGGAGAAGAAGAAGAGATGCTGGAATGTAGAACTGTACTAGCCAGTCGACCATGCTATTATTTATATTTGAATGTAGTACAAGATACAAGTAATTACTGGAATGCCCCTGATTAGTCATGGGACACCCAGTTTACTTAAAACATTAAACAGGCTTAGGCCCATTAACACAGGCCCAGTTACAGGATAACTTAAACTCATACAAAGAGACATCATTCTAGCATTCTAACAATTTATAACAAATATAAGAAATTGCAATTAGGCCCCTGGGGCTCACCCTAATACAAAAGAAAAGAACATGCTGACAGCAGTCTAAGCTGATAGCATTGTAACATCATAAATAAAGAAAAAAACTGTTTAAATCTAACAACAAAAGCATACAAAACAATTTATAAATTAGTGATGCCAACTACCCCTTTCCTCTAGAGGAGGCCCGAGCTCCCAAGCAGGCACCTCCCTTGAGAGGGTTGGATGCAGGAGAGGAGGTGGAGTTTCAAGAGGTCGCTTTTTGGGCATGCTCCATAAAATGCTACCCCATATGTAGAAGCAACTCGTAAGAATACTTGGACGAAAGTAGCAGCTTCCATCAAAGTCGGTCCAAGTTGTTTCTACATTGGGTTGGAGGGAGAAGCTGTCTAACAACGATTGGACTACCTCAAAAATACTTGGTTGGTTCTGTTACCAAAAGCTTCTCGGTGGAGGCTATTTGGCGTTGAGCATGTAGAAATTGGAACGTTCCTTTCGGAGTGAAGGTAAGGTAATTCTCCAACAATAATTTTTTATGTATTCTTCCTTTTGAATTGGAGGCCCTACGTATCTGGAAAACTAGTGCTCAAAACTTGTTTGGGGAACTCCACCTGAAACCTTGGGATCCCAAGCAAGGCAGTTGGCATTTTGGGAACAACGAACTCACCTCTTTCTGGGTTAGAATCTTGGGTCTCCCCTTGTATCCTTGGTCAAAAAAACCTGGTGAAGAATAGGAGACCTCTGTGAAGGCTTCCAAAAGTTGGATAACTTTGTCTCCGCCAAAAAGATAATGGAGTGGATAATAGTAAAAGTTTGTTGACAAGGCCCACCTCCCTCATTGGTGAACATAGTCGATGGAGATGATATTTGGACGGTGGCTCTCTAGTCGGAACTAGGCCCATAGTTTAGAGGGGGTGCAACAACACCGGCTGAGATGGTAGAGGCTGAAGATGTTTGGGTTTCGATGAAGTTGAAAGGCCATGATATAGGGGAGTTGGTGGTTTCAGTAATAAAAAAAAAATCAGAGGAGAAAAGGCCAGTGGTAGATCTAGTATCACCAGAGGTACTCTCTCCCTCCGGGGACTAGGGGAACTGCCTTCTCCCACCACACATGGTTTGTAGTTGGAAGCCGATGGGGACCCTCCCAGAGAACAGTTGGATCTAGGCCGTTCAATCGCTGACTTGTGTCAGGGATCTAGGTGACGAGATGCCCCCCTATCGCCTAGCCTCACCTTGGTGCCTTAAAAACTATGCTGCAAATGCTAGAGATGTTGATGTGTTGAAATTCCAAATAGGGACAAAATATTTGAAGGTTGGTATTTTTGCTAGAATTTATTTGCTTGATAGAGCTACCTTGTTTCTCGAGGCATGGTTAACATCCTAGACCATAACATGGCACTTCGTTGATTACTTTGTTCTTTTTGAAACATCATCAAGAAAAGAGAGAACATAGACATAAGTATGGCTGGAATTTGCTCTTCTGTGGATTATACTTTGCCTGTTGTCTTATGTTTTACCTCTTTTCCTTTTAAATGCAATGCCATTTTTCTTTTGGTTTTGGATTATTGGTGATATGCACCTTTTTTTCAACTTCTTTAACATTCTAGTCAAATTTTGGGTTGTCAGGATCAACAAAGTAGAGAGCTTTCTCAGCGTCATGTATCTAAGAGAGCAAAGAAACTCAAGGTGAAGGTATGGCAGTAGCTAAGTATGTGTTTTACACATCTTCTCTTGTTCTCCTTGTGCTTGTATATTTTGATTAGTTCTGTATATGGTGTAATTTACAAGTTGGAAAATATGGCACCAAACCCTTCAATCACTTTATGACACAGCACTTGTTCTGGATAATCAGAATTCATTCTAGCTGTTGCTGGCACTTTCCATTTGATTTGCATTGAAGTCTCCTTCACCAGTGCGGTTTGCATGGATGATCATAACAACCTATTTGAAGACTTTTTTCTCAACCAAAAGTTTATTTTTCTTGCCATTTAGAATAGAGTGAATGATGGACTTTTATATGTTTGTTTCAATAATCTTTTGTCAAAGGACCCATGGGCTACACGTAGGAAGAAAATAGAAGAAAATGAATTTCATATTAATTTTTAAAAATAGAAAAGTGACAGCAACAACAACACTCATGTCTATCTTCTATTCTGCTGTTTTTCTTTGGTTAGCAAAAGCACGAAAATTCATCCAACAACCGCAATGAATATCTTGTTGAATGATCTGTTGCTGAACTCTCTCTCTCTCTCTCTCTCTCTCTATTTGTCACCTACTTCTAGACTTTACCAACTTTCCCATTAGTCTTGTTATTAACTTGCAGATTTATTTCCTTGTGGATTCTTTTTTCAGGAGGACGAGATAAAATTGAAGCCTGTTATTGCATTTGATTTTGGTATAGTTTCCTTCTCTTAGCTGCTCTTTTCTATTTGCTTTTTGTTTTTATATGTAATGGTGATTGACAGAAGGCATTATAGATAGAGGCTACACACTAAAAGATAAAAATCCATGAACCTAACATTGGCCTTGTATTTGCAAGTATATTTTTAATTTGTAAGTGGAATCATTGAAAAGTAGTTCTTCTTAACTGTCAGTTATAAGATATCATGCTCACCATTTTCCCCCTTGTTTGAATATAAACTGTTGAAATATCCATTTTAGCTTTTACACTTTGTTCTTGTAAAACCAAATCATCTACAAGGTGCAGCTAAGTATCAAATTATCAGTAGCTCCATGAGCAGCAGTAGAAAGAAAATGATCCCTTGAAGAACCTATGGTATATGCTCTGATATCAAGTCAGAAGAGAGAGAACTGTGGGAGAGAAAAATTGCACTCTCCCTTACAATTGATTATTTTATAAGGACTTAAGGAGACTAATAACGAGAGTGGAAAGACAGAACTACCCTCATACATGTCCAGAAAATTAAGGCCACATAAAAGACAAAACGCATTATTAGTGAGAAAATGTGGAAGAGAGCCCTCACAATCATTCATCTTTTGTAGAATCAAATAATGAGGGTGGAAATACCTAACCACCTTCATACATGTCCAGATAAATTCAGGTTAACAGAAAAGGCAGAACCGCAGAAGTACCCCTTATTACATGTCTAACAAAAGTCCCTGTGCTCTATCAATACTTGGATACTCCCCTGTGCAGGTGGTATTCTTTAAGACTCATTTTCCCCCATTTCACTCCTTTACTGGTGAGAAACCAAAAAATTCTATCAAGAAACAAAAGTGACCCCCTAAAGGCTAATGGAAAAGCTTGCATCCAGTTGTAATCGTTGGGTTCCAAGTCCAAGTAGTTTTCATCCTAAATTTTGTCAATGCAGCAGAAATATATTTATCTGATAATCCTGGTGCAGTTATCTGTTTACTTTAAACTTAAGCAGAAATATACTGCTAGAACTGTGTTGATTAAACTTTAACTTCAAATTCATTTCCTGCTGCTTCTGCTTTCAGACTACGTTTTGCTTTGATGCTCTCAATTAATTGTATTACAACATTATGTAGGAAAGAATAGGATATCTTTATGATGAACAGTGTTTTAAAAGGCATGGGAGGTGCCCCCAAAACGCCCTGAGGTGTATGCCGGAGGCATTGACACCTCTGAGGTGTATGCCTCGTACGTGCCTCATGTACACCTTATGTAAAAAGATAGAAAAAACAAAAAGAAAGAAAAAGGAAAGGAAAAGAAAGGGAAGGGAAGGAAAGAAAAATAAAGAGAAGGAAAAAAAGAGAAAAAGAAAGAAAAGAAAAGGAATGGGAAGGAAAGAAAAGATAAGGGGAAAGAAAGTGGACCTGGGACTAAGCCCTTGGACCCCTTCGGTTGGGGGGCTTCGCCCCCCCCCCCCCCGCCCCCCTTTAATTAGTGCTATATATCTTCATTCTTCTTAATATAAAATATTAAAAATAAAGAAAAATGAGATCCTCCTCCCTCTTCCTCCTCATCCTCCTCCTCTTAAGTAGGCTTACGCCTCCTTGTGTTCGGGAGGCTTAGGTAGTGTCATGCCTCTGCATTTTAAAACATTGATGATGAACCCACTAAACTATGCGGGTATCCAGGGAATGAAATCATAATGTGCAATAGAAGAAAGTAATTAAAAGGGGGATAGTTAATAATACCTATATAAACGTTAGGATTTAGGGTTATTATGCCAAAAGGAATCTAGTAGTGGTATGATCCATATGGAATCAAATGTAAATTGAATGAACTGTTTATTAGGCTAGTGTAATATTTTTCTAGTTATTAAAATAGTGTGAAAATGGAAGTCATTGGCTTATAGAAACCTCTCTCAATAATCCAAAAGATGACCTGATTTTGTCTTTAAACTCTGCCAAAATGTATTTCAGCTGAAATCCGTGAGCGAGATTGGTGCAACGTGGTTACATGTCATATGGATACTTCACAGGCATATGTCTGGAGACTTCAGAATTTTGTCATTGGCAAGCATATTTTGATACCATGCCCGGAGAATCAAACACCTGTTAAGGTATGCTTTCTAAATGTGTTGGGCGCAATTATAACAGGGTGATGAGGTGTTTGCTGTAATGGGTATCTCAGTTTTCACAACCTCTTGTTGTAACTGTTTTTTTTTTTTTAATTTAAGTAATTAATAAAGTTTTTGTGTTTGCTGTTTCAAAAAAATTGTACTTTTTTCCATCATGCTTCCTTTTATTTAGACAGTTTTTAAATAGACATACAATGGCTGCTTCTCCATAGAAAATTGCTTGTGCACACTTGCAAATGATTTTGGCAGCACAGATTTGAAACAAAGTTGATACCTTATTGTTCATGTGTCAGGCATGTTCAATCAGTGCATGTGGCAATTATGCTGTTCTTGGAACAGAGAGTGGTTGGATTGAGCGATTTAATCTCCAATCAGGATTAAGGCGAGGCAGTTATGTAGACCTGTCTGAAAGAAGAAGCTGTGCACATGATGGGGAAGTGGTGGGTGTTGCTTGTGATAGTACAAATACTTTCATGATTAGTGCAGGATATCATGGAGATATGAAGGTACTTATTCCATATGTCATGGCATTCTCATATTTTTCATTAGTTTAGCTTAAAAAACCAGTGCCTGAGCATGTTTCTAGTTGTGCCCATTACATTGTAGCTGTAGTAAATACCATTTAAGGGACAGAAGCATAATTCCCCAGAAAAGTATTCAAGCAAATAAAAATAATGTGTAAACATAATTTTTTTTGATGATGATTTTGAGCTGCTTGTGGTATTGGAGTCGGTATATAATTGTATTTTTTTTTTGGGTTATTGTTTTGTTTGGTACCACAAAGTCACTTAGCATTTGTACCGAATTCTTCTTTTCCTTGGTACATTTCTAATTTGTTACCCAAGAAAAGGAAAACCATAGAGGGAATTGTCCTTGAAGAATTGTTGGTTTTTCAAAATTTAACTCTTGCCAATATGAACAGTAGTCCATTTTGACGAGTCACGAGTCCATGCAAAATTCTCGAATGTGCATGAATCAGTATGACATAAATAGTTGCCCTTATAATTGATGACTTGTATAAATTCTTGAAAAACAGAGAAGAAAATGATTTTTTGCTTTAACATTTTGAGGGATTTACCTCCAGTTTTCTTTCCTTTCCTCTGTGTGTTAATTGGCCCACTAAAACTAAGTTCACTGTTTCCACTATATTTTGAGTCCTTGTGCAGGTATGGGATTTCAAAAATTGTGAACTGAAATCTAAATTGGAAGTTGGTTGCCATGTGGTCAAGTTCGTTTATCACCGTCACAATGGTACTGTAATTTTCTGTGCTTTTTCATTATTTATTTATTAGTTAGTTTGTCTGTATTCTGGTATTTTATATTTCGTTTTACGTTATGTGGAGCAATTTTTGAACAGAACATAAACAACATGATTTCAGGGCTTTTGGCAACCGTATCAAATGATATGATTATCCGTTTGTTTGATATCGTTGCCCTAAGGATGGTTCGTAAGTTTGAAGGTCATTCAGATCGTATTACAGACTTGTGTTTCAGTGAGGATGGAAAATGGATTTTGTCATCTAGTATGGATGGGACTCTTAGAATCTGGGATGTAATCTTGGCAAGACAGATAGATGCTATACAAGTTGATGTGTCTATCACAGCATTGTCTCTTTCACCCAATATGGATGTTTTGGCCACTTCTCATGTTGATCAAAATGGAGTATACCTCTGGTAAGTATATAATTGAGATTCCTTCTGTTCTTTTCTTTTTTGTATGTCATTTTGCACCTAGTTTGATGATTTACTACACTGAGATTTCGTTCTCCCAACTCATGGTGAACAAATAATTCGAACTATGATCACAGAACTGGATGGCAATAGCCCATTTTTGTTTACCTGTTGAAGCTAATCTATACCTTGCATTGTTAAGAAAATAAACCTTACACCTTGTGACTGTACACCCTGGTTAGGAGGACTGAAGGTACGATTTAATCTCCAGTTTGTAACATTATAACCTATCATTGCTTGGTACCATGATTATTGTTTGTTCATGTATGTTTGTGTATATTATGTTCTTTTCTAAATCCAATTATGACTGTGGGATGCTATCAGGGTTAATCAAGCAATGTTCTCTGGAGCTTCCAATTTGGATTTCTATACAAGTGGGAAGGAAGTTGTGAGTGTTAAGTTGCCTACTGTCTCTTCAAAGGAAGGATCTATGGAAGAGGGTTCTGGTAAACCTAAGATTCATCAATCGCAAGTGAAGGAAACTCATTGTCCTTCACATTTGGATTGCCAAATTCCAGATCTAGTTACTCTCTCATTGTTACCCAAGAGCCAGTGGCAAAGCCTGATCAACTTGGACATTATAAAGGTTTACTTTATGAATGTGTCATTTTTGAATTCATACTCTTTGTTTCCATATAATATTCTAAATTTTGTTAATTTTGGGTTTGCTATTTGGTTTTGTGGCACTTCTAATTCTTGTACTCAAATTATATTTATCTTTTAACTTATTTTTCTTCCTTGTGGATTTTTATTCTTCTCCACAATTTTCAGGTCCGTAATAAACCAATCGAGCCGCCAAAAAAACCAGAAAAAGCCCCTTTCTTTTTGCCTTCAGTTCCATCATTGTCTGGAGAAATATCATTTAAACCTAGTGAACCAGCTGCTGAAGAGAAGGATAGAAAAGTTGGTGAGCTGGAAAATAGTAAAAGGAAATTTGACTTACCAGCCTCCCAATTTGTGCAACTTCTTCAGTCCTCTGCAGAAGGAAAAAACTGTAAGTCTTTTTATACCCTTGGATCCTTGACAAAATCTTCATCTACCAATCTGATTGACAGATGGTAAGAACCATCCAAGACTAAGAAACTGTTACTCTGGAAGACCTGCCATATGAGATTCTTTAATGTGGATGAACTTACTATAAAGAGATCAACCTGATTTGATGAACATACTAATCTGCAACATCCTTTTTGGATGACTAAAAATAAATTTAGGGAAGCAAGAAATCATTAGAGATCGGATGGTTATTGCCATCCGTTATGAAGCTTCTTTGGCATTGGATATCTTCCATCAGAAGGTGTGAAATAATGTGTATGTGACATCATTGTTCCCTGGATGGGTTGTACTTGTAGGCTACTTGACAGTTCCTTGGATTTCATTTGTGTTGTAATGCTAATTCTCTAGTAAATCTCTTCTTTGGCGCAAGATTGTAACTTGATTTTTCTGAATCGTTGGGAAAAAGGTTTTGCATTTATACTTCCTCATACCCTTTCTGATTGCAGTTTCGCCATTCACGGATTACATCAAAGGTGTATCTCCCTCCACACTGGACATGGAACTTCGCATGCTTCAAATTATAGATGATGAAGATCAGCAAGAACCTGAAAAAAGACCCGAGCTATTTTTTATTGAACTGCTATTGGATTATTTCATATATGAAATTTCCCGTGGAGACAACTATGATTTTATTCAAGCTCTACTTAGATTGTTTTTGAAGGTATCAGTTGACAATTATCTCTAATTGTTCCAATTTTTTTTCTTGCAATAGCTGCAAAAAAGTAACAACTCTGCTGCCATTTTTTCCCTTCTTTTTTTTTCTTTTTCTTTTTTTTTTTGTGTGGGGGGGGTTAATTTATTGGTTAAGCTGTTGTATGTCTTTATACCATATGTATATTAGACCATCAAGAAATGGCCCGTAGATTGGGGGTAGGGGTGGAAGATTGCTTCATTATGTTTTCTTGTCCTGACTTGAGATCACTGCAGAGAGAAGGGATCAGTTTTGGTGATAAAAGAAACAAATTAAAATGGGTCCTATTGTGCCTGCAGTGCTTGCAAGTGCATATGTGCTGTCTGCTAGCCTTCCTCATTCCCTGGATCTGGATGATAAAAGAAACAAATTATAATGGTCATTTTTTTGTTGAATGCACATATTTGTTTTTCATATATGGACAAAAATAATGGAAATTTATCTTTAATGGTAAATATGTCATGCTGAAGTTTAACAACGTTGATGTGCTAAAGTTGAAACCAATAAAAGAATAATATGAATAATATGGCCATTTTTTGGAAGATCTTCAGGGGTTTGTTCTAACATCTCCCAAATTTTTCTTGTCAGATACATGGTGAAACGGTAAGGCGCCAGGTAAAACTTCAGGATAAAGCAAGGAAACTTCTAGAAGTTCATAGTCCAACATGGCAGAGAATGGATAAAATGTTTCAAAGTGCTAGATGTATGATTACATTTCTCAGCAATTCACAGTTCTAAGTGTACCTGAGGTAATATTTCTCAAAAATCGTCTTTGCTTCAATGCCTGCAATTTAGGAAATATCATGTAGAGGTTGCTTTTAGCCAATTTATGTGTCCAAATTTGTTTTGTGCTCACTGAAATGAAAAACCTGACCATCAGTAGTTACCGGATTAGATTGATCAGAGATCCCCAAACTAAGTTGCTACCTTTTTTTCTGTTTTTCGCAGTTTGAGATATAGAACCAATTATATTGTAATTGTTCAAGGATGGATCCTTGGGCTAACAAAGTGTGAGAATGCAGTTCAAGTGTAAGAGCAGCCATATTGTGCAAAAATACTAAATGTTAACTCCATAGTCCATTCCTCCTAAGATAAGGACCAAAATTGGGTGGTTGACCTGGTGGCCCTTCTATGCCATGATTCTGGACTTATGAGTTTCTATTTTCTAGGAAAGCATTTGTAGAGAACACTGATGTGGGCCCCACTGCAGTGGTCCTCACTGTGTTCGTAGGACAGCATGTGTAGTTATTTGTTTCAGTTATAGTAGTGTCAGTTTGAGTCAGTTTGTTAATTCAGTTGTTATTTATTTCAGCTTT